GATGGAGGAGGAGGGGAAGGAGGAGGAGGGGATGGAGGAGGAGGGGAAGGAGGAGGAGGGGACGGAGGACGAGAGGGGATGGAGGAGGACGCGGCAGAGGGAGTCTGGCCAGAGCCTGGAGCCTGTGGTCAGAGGGCGGGAACCCGGAATTCTGGTCCCGGCACCTTCCCAGGGCTTGGCAGGAGGCGGGGCCATGTTCAGGGTGGGACCCCTGGTGGGGGCAGAGGGCTTGCTTTATTTTGGTAAGAGATTCTTTCTTAGGAGCTCTGGGGCCCAAAAAGATGAGAAATGGTAAGAGGAAGATTGAAGGACAGTAAGGTCCGGGGTCCAAGAGCGCGGGTGCTGGTGTGTGGTCCCCCGGGCTTTGGCGTCACGGGGCCGCGCACACACTCCCACTCTTGGCGGCTGCCTGGGCGGGGCCTCGTCCGGGGCCGGGCTGGCGGTCGGGGGCCCGCCTCCCCTTCGGGCCCCGCTGCCGTGGGGGGCCAGGGCCGCGCTCACCGGGTGTGTCCTGCGCAGAGCCTGATGCTGGCCAAGGCCAAGGAGTGCTGGGAGCAAGAGCACGAGGCGCGGGAGGCCGAGAAGAGTCGCTACCTGGCCGAGCGCATCCCCGCGCTGCAGACCCGAGGCCTGTCGCTCAGCGCCCTGCAGGTGGGCATGGGAGAGGGGCTCCCGAAGCGGCGCGCAGCCCCGCGGCAGGGGCTCAGACTGGCTCGGCCCCAAGCTCTCTCATTAGTCTTCACAACCCCGTGGGGCGGGGGCGGGCTGGGGTGGGGCGTTGGGTCCCATTTTACGAGCGGGAAGGGAGCCTCAGCAGGGAGGAGGGTCTTGCTTGCGGGGGGTGGGGGGGGCTGAGCAGGGACCAGGTCGCGTATCGGAGCAGCGTGCAGAGCGGGGAGCTGGCCAACGCTTGGGAGGGCCCACTTCTCCAGACCTGCCCGTCCTTCCCCTGCAAATGGGCCTTTAATGTTTTTATAACATTGATAAGAGTTTAAACATCAGTAACTGCAGAGTGAAGGGCCCGGAAGGAGATACAGATCTCCTTTGACTTACGATGGGGTTAAGTCCCAAGAAACCCATCGTCAGGTGAAACTGTCGTAGGTCCAAAGTGCACTGTCTACGCCTCACCCAGCGCACATCACAGCTCACCTGGCCCAGCTTAACCGTGTGAGGACCCCACTCACGGTAGCTGAAAGTTGGGCGAAATCAACTAACAGAAAAGCCTATTTTACAATAAAGAGTTGAATATCTCATGTAATTTACTGACGATGAAAAAGCAGATGGTTGTCTGGTACATAAGGGTTTTACGTGTGTGGGTGGCCACCCTCACTAGCGTGGGGCTGCCTGGGAGCTGGGGCTGCACTGCCCAGCACCGAACATCACTAGCCTGGCTGGGAAGGATTAAAATTCAAAATTCCAAGGATGGTTTCTACTGAATTTGTATTGCTTTCTCACCATCATAAAGGCAAAAAAGATCATAAGCTGAGCCATCGTAAGTCAGGGACCATTTTTTTAAAAAGACATTTATTTACTTATTTTGTCTGTGCCAGGTCTTAGTTGTGGCATGCATGTGGGATCTAGTTCCCCGACCAGGGATGGAACCCAGGCCCCCTGCATTGGGAGCTCGGAGTCTTACCCACTGGACCACCAGGGAAGTCCCACCATTTGTAGACCAACATGTCACCGACGGTTACCTCCAGGCGGTAACCTATGTTATTACTGCCTGGTGGTAATAATTCCTATTTTATTATTAATTAAATAATAATAATTATTATCACTAATTATTCCTATTTTATTATTATTAGTATTGTTTTTTTTGTTTAGGCTGCACCGTGCAGCATGCGGGGTCTTAGTTCCATCGAACCCGTGTCCCCTGTATTGGGAGCACAGAGTCTTAATCACTGGACCGCTAGGGAAGTCCCCTTATTTTATTATTTTTGCTTAATATATAATTTTCAAAATTTCTACAATTAACTTACATTCTTTTATCATAAGAAAACTTTTTAGCGATAAGTACATTCGGAAAGGACTTCCATTCAGAGCGAAGGGGTCTATCAGCCCCTTCCACAGAGGTGGAGGAGGGGCCGGGCACCCGGCTGGGAGGTGGAAAAGGGGGGCTGGGGGCTGAGCGGCTCCCTCATCTCCCTTCCTGACTCCCCTGCTTCCCCAGGACCTGTGCCGGGACCTGCACGCCAAGGTGGAGGTGGTGGATGAGGAGAGATATGACATCGAGGCCAAATGCCTGCACAACACCAGGGAGGTGAGCCGGGGCTGGGGGGCGGCAACACCAGGGA